GGGGGAGAGAAGACATCTGTAATATTTTCAACAATAAAGATAAATTTTTAAAAAAAGAATACAGGTGGTAAAAAATTAGAAGCCTAAGCAGGGCAAATACTAAATTATTCAGGGATTAGCAGTAACATTCATGATTTGGTGGTCATTGTATCAGCTGCTAAATCACTATAAACAGCTGAACTAAATGCAGATTTTAGACGTCTATCTATCTATATGTAAAAATGTGGATGTATAAAATAGTACTATCTGAAGTGGTACATGCATCTTCATCATTTCAACACCAAAGGAGTGCAGCTGGTTCCCATTCACTGGCGAGGCCGTGAAGAGGAGGCCCTTCCTTTCAAAGATGTTCACACTGAGAAGGGGTGGCGAGGGTTTTTACCTACAGGGAGGAATGACAAGAATGGCTGCCATGTGTTGAACGCTGGCTCTTGCCAGGCACTTCGTTTAGAGCTTTACACTCATCCCTAATGCTCACAGCTCTCCTGTGAAGTTGGGATCCTAGTACCCATTTTATAGATGGGGAATGTGTGTCTGATACGATACAGCTCCTCAGTGATGGATTAAAATTTAGGGCCACCCGGCCAGGCGTGGCTCAGCGGTTGAGCGTGGACCTAGGATCCAGGGGATCGGGGTTCGATTCCTGGTCAGGGCACATGCCCGGGTTGTGGGCTGCAGCCGATCAATGACTCTCTCATCATTGATGTTTCTCTCTCTCCCTCTCCTTTCCTCTCTGAAATCAATAAAGATATATTTAAAAAAAAAAATTTAGGGCTGTCTCAATCCCAAAGATGAAATTGTCAGTTTACATCTGATAGAACAAGAGCTCAGAGAACTTTTTCAGTGGCAGTGGCATCCATTTGTTTTAAGGTTTATTGGTTACCCCTTGAAAATGCTCTGCTGGAATTAGGGGTGCAGACAGCAAACGAGGCTCAGCATGAGTAACTAAGTGGTGTGATTCTTTCAGAGCCTAGTGAGATACAAAACCCACTGGGCTGAGGAGATAGAAAGCTCTCTCTAGTAGGTTTATCTAAAGATATTAGGTTATAATATTTACATAAGTACATTTTCAACTAACTGAAAAAAGATACAAGTAATTCACCTTAATTTTTGAAGTATTAAGTAAGCAAAACGAGGAGAGAATACAAAGCACTTGCTATCCCAC